GTTTTTTCTGTCGCATGTTATATCCCCCAGAGCATGTTGTTCTTCAGTTGTTTTCATTTTTGCTTGAGGCATGCAGTTCCCAAAAAATTATAGACTAGCTCGTAACCCCAACTCTCATTCTGAGATCTCCTCCCTAAGATATACAACTCCATGTCTGCCAGGAATAGTGGGAGGACTTGCCTTTGAGGCACAGCTTAGATAGGTCTTTGAAGAATTTTGGGTCCCTGGGACCAGCAGGTAGGGTATTGGCTAAGGTACTGGACTCCCGTATGGCCAACTGCAGTTTGAGTCTTGAACCCAGCGACTTAAAATTCATGCCAAGTAGGGCCGGCAGGTGGCGTGGTGGTTAAGAGCACTGGACTCCCACATGACCGACTGGAGTTTGAGTCCAGAACCTGGCGGCTTGCTTTCTTACTTTCCCTCTCTCTCTCTGTTCCTCTCTGGTCAAAATTTTTTAAATAAATAAATTAATTTAAATTTAAAATTTATTAAAATAAAAAAAATTCATGCCAGGCACATGTGCGTGAGTACCCAAAGTCCCAGGAGAAGAATGGAGAGAAGTGATTGCCATGTGGCCATCACCCTAAGGGGGTAATTTCTCACTTTCCCTCTCACTGTCTCTCTCTCTGCTGCACACATACCCTGTGACAACCACCTTAAAAAATGTTAATAATTTTAGGTCCCTGAAAGTTACTATTTTATGCACAGATTCCTCTTGGGGTTGACACCATCTGCCTCAGACCAGCAAAGCCCAGAGTAGATGGATGATTAATCAGGTTTCCCTAGTGTCTGGAGTCTAATTACCCTGTTTGCTCTCAGAGTGTGAGAGCATGTTCCCCCAGAATTCCCACTTGTGTCAACCATGAGCTTCTCCTGGAATTCTGGGCCTCCCTAGCTCTTTTTTATGTTTACATTTTTTAGAGGGAGTTTTTTTTCTATAAGGCATGTGTGCTTGCCAGAGAGACAAAGTGAGAAATCACCCCTCTGGGAGGTGGCCATGCCACAATCCCTTCTCCTCCATTCTGCTCTTGGGATCTTGGGCACACCCGCACATGTACACAACGTGAGTTTTAAGCCGCCAGGACTGGGACTCAAACCACGGTCAACTACGTGAGAGTCCAGAGATATAACTGTTTTGCCATCTGATGATCCCCCTAGTTCTTTTTAAAATTTGCTACACTATACTATGCACTAGTTATATATAGAGAGAGAAAGAGACAGAGAGGGAAAGTAAGAAAGCACTACCCCAGGAGGTATGGCCATACCACAATCCCTTCTCCTTTATTCTCCTCTCGGGATTTTAGGCATGCATGCATACATACATATGTGGTTTTTTTCAAGCTGCTAGGTCTGAGACTTAAACAGCATAGTCAGCCATGTAGGATCCAGCCACCTTAACCACCACACCACTGCTCCTGCCAGCTCCTCCTTGTCATTTATACTTTGAATTGCATATATTTCATGCTAGCTTTGTCTCAGTTACTGGAGAGACAAGGCTGAACACAGTTTAAGTGGTATGATAATGGGAACACAGTGGAAAGACTGAAGTGTCAGAATCTGAGTACATCGTTTTGTCTGTAAGAAGAGACACTGGGTTTTAGTGTAAAGGAAGATGCAATAAAGAAGTGCTTTCTAAGTAAAGGGAACAACAGGTGGAATTAGGAGGTGTGGCCTGGTGCTTTTCTGTGTAATGTTTGAAGTTTGGCTTAACTAGAGTATGATGGCTCAGGGAAAATATTCATATGAACCTAGAGAATGACAAAGATCAGATTCAAAGGGTCCTGGGGTCTGAACTAAAGAAATTCAGGTTCATAACCAAAACCTGTGAGGACAATGGGAGGATTATAGGCAGGTTAATGAGATGACCAGATTTTTTGGGGGGGAGGTTTTTCGCTATAGGGCACGTGCACGCGCCAGACAGAGAGAGAGAAACATAGAGACAGAAAGCGAGAAATCACCCCCCGGGGGAATGGTCATGCTGCAATCCCTTCTCCTCCATTCTCCTCTCGGGATCTTGGGCACGCACGCACACGCGCCTGGTGTGACCCTTTTGACACTGGTTGAGGGTGGCTGAGAACATTTCATGTGTCTAGACTTTCTATCCTATCTAGACTGCTGCCGCTCCTCAAGTTTACAGCCTTGTTTTCTATTTCCTGCGAGTATTGTAATGGTTTCTTTTTTTTTTTTTCTTTTTTTGAAGAGGTTTTTGCTATAGGGCATGTGTGCTCGCCAGACAGACAGAGACAGAGAGACAGAAAGCGAGAAATCACTCCCCAGGGGGGATGGCCATGCCGCAATCTTTTCTCCTCCATTCTCCTCTAGGGATCTTGGGTACACACGCACACGCGCCCGGTGTGAGTTTAGGCCACCGGGTCCGGGACACGAACCGCGGTCGACTACGTGAGAGTCCAGCGACATAGCCATTACGCTAACTGCTGGTCCCTGTAATTGTTTCTTCCCTTGTCTCTACCTCTGTTTACTCAGGTCTTCTAGAATTGCTACCAGCACTAGCCAGAGCATGAGCCTCCTTCCCTTGGTTGCTCTCCAGTGTCTTTAGAGTAATGTTCAGCCTCTTGCCAGTCAGGACCCTCTGTGGTCTTATCCCAGATGACTCATGCAGCTTTGTGACCCACACTGCTCTAGCAGCAATTTTCTAAAATTCTGTGACTTTTGCTCTTCCAGGCATTTTCTTGTGTTGTTCCTGTCCTGACCATTTTTCGCATCTCTTGCATAGAAAATCTTTCAGGGGCCAGTGCAAGGGTCATCTCCTCTATGAAGTCACCCTTTTGACTCTAGGTTAAATGTTTCAGGGATCGAGGGATAGAACTTGACTACAACTGCCTTAATAAATGACTACCATTTGTGGGGAAACTGCTGTGGGCAGTCATTGTAGGAACACTTTCCTTCCGTTAACACGTTTATACCAGAAGGCGGACAGTCACGCATCTGAACTTTAGGGCAGAGCCCCAGCTCTGCCGTTTACCAGCTACGTAACCTTGGCAGTTGTTTCCTATTTCAATGTCAGTTACGTCTGAGGGTTAAGTGTGCTTGGAAAAGGAGCCATAAATGATATACTAGCTCTATAAATGGTCTGATTTTCATCCTCATAACCTCCCGATTAGAAAGCAAATACTATTAGCATTCCTATTTTCCAGTGATGGAACTGAGGCTTAGGGAGACTGAGTTACTTGTACTACTTCCCCAAACACAGATGACCTATTCATCTTTTTATTCCGGAATGTCTTTAAACCCTAAATATTTATCAAACTGCACTGAAAGAAGGAGCTCCAGAGTCCGACTGAGAGATTGAGAAATTGTTACCTGCGTGGGGTAGTAATTCAGGTTTTCTTTCCTTAGAAGTCCTATCATCTTTTAGAATTCACGGATTTTAGCCACCCCTTCAGCGAGGAGCTATATGTTTGCTAGTGACAGATAATTAACATTTTTAATTGTTACTCAAGTTTTTGTTATGAAAATTTGCATATATTTGTCTTTCCCCAACTGGTTTGTACACTGTTTCAGTGCAGAAGATGGAATCTTACACTCCTGCCCCTTTCCTGTCCTTGTTTTGTTGTCTGTAGGTCAAATCTGATTAACATTTAACTTAAATGTCAAAAAGGAATTATCATCCGTTTCTAAATGATGACCAAGCAACCAAATGATTTTGTTAATGTTTATTTTCTATAATTGAGGTTTTAAAAAAAGTACCTTTTTTCACATTTTTCAAATAAAAATTAGTATGTCAATATGTTTTTTAAAAATTATATCTCTACTATTGCTCCATTTCATCCGTTCTGTACCCATTAGGATTCTGATACATATCATGCCCTTGGAGGAAGCCACACTGATGGGAACTCTCCTATTTCTGTTTTCTCTTTTTTTGAGAGAGAGATTTTTGCTACAGGGCACATGCACTCGCCAGAGAGAGACAGAGAGACATAAAGCAAGAAATAACCCCCCTCCCTTGTGAGGATGGCCACACTGCAGTCCCTTCTCCATTCTCCTCTCAGGATTTTGGGCATACACACACATGCACTTGGTGTGTTTTCAGCTGCCAGGTCTGGGACTCGAACCATGGTCGACTACATGGGAGTCCAGCAATGTAACTACTACGCCATCTCCTGGTTCCCCTGTTTTCTCATTTTATTGAAGAATCTGAGGGCTATGTACCAGTGGTTTTCCCTTTTTTAAATTTTTTATCTGACAAAGTATACTCTAGCAACTTGTTCAAGACTCAAAATCCACAGGCTGAGTCTGTGGCCTAGTGGATACCACGTGACTGACTAGTTTGACTCCTGGTCCTGGTGGCTTGAAAAACATACTGGGTACATGTGCATGCATGCCTAAAATCCTGACAGGATGGAGAAATGGAGGAGAAGAGATTGCAGAATAACCATATCTCATGGGGGTTGGGGAGTGCTTTCTCTCTCCTTCTGTCCTTCTCTCTCTGTCTGCCTGGCAAGCTCATGTGCCCTCTGGCAATTAAGAAAATAAAAAAAACTGGGGCCAGTAGGTAGCATGATGGTTAAAGGCACTGGAGTTCCCACATGGCCAACTGTGGTTCTGGTCCCGGACCTGATGGCTCTCTCTTTCTCTGTGTCCTTCTCTGGTCACATTAAAATAAATAAGCAAATAAATAAATAAAAGTTTAAAAAAAGAAAGAAAACGAAAATCAGGGAAACCAGTGACTTGGTGGTTAGGGTGGCTGGATCCCATGTTGCTGAGTGCACAGTATTGCCCAACAGCTTGAAAACCACGCAGGGCGTGTGTGTGTGCATGCCCAAAAATCCTGAAAAGAGAAATGGAGAAGAAATCACAATATAGCCATCCATCGCGGGGGTGCTTTCTCACTTTCCTCTTCTTTCTCTTTGTCTCTCTCCAGGGAGTGCATGCTCCTTCCACAAACTAAAGAAAGAAAAAGACTCAAAATCCTTAAGATTATGTGAGTTTTAAAAGCTTTGTTTTCTTTCTTTTTTTTTTTTTTTTTTGGTTTTTGACAGAGCAGAAAAGCTTCAGCTGCTAAATCACAGGCCTATGACTGCTGTTGAGATCCAGCTGGTGAGTAAAGGAACCTGAACTTGAGGGAATTGTTTTCTGGGTCTGAGACGTAGAAAGGCTAAGAGTGACAAGCTAAGAATGATTACTTTTTAGAGTCTGCCCAACCACCTAATTCTGTAAGTGAGAGGAGCCCTCACTAATTTGATCCTAGTTAGAATGGGCGTAGGAAAGTAGATGGCTGGAGGAAGTTCAGTCCCTCCCATAGGCTTTGGTCCTGTGACTTGGCAGCTCTCTGCCTCCCCTGATGTCCTGGGCCATTCTGGCCATTGCTTCCCTGTAGGCTTTGTTGCCAACCAGATGTTACATAAAAACATTAAACTCAATGTGTCTCTGGCAGAATTTACCTCCCTCCACTCCCACCCTTCAACCCTACTCTTCCTTTATTCCCTTTTCTTAGTTACTGGAGTGTGTATGCACTTTCCCACATGCTGTCTTCCTCTCTCACCTTCCTGGCCCGTCCTTCCAAGCCAGAAACCTAGAAGCTGTTCTCTTCCTTTTATATCATACTCAGTTCCCAAGGTCTGTAGCTTCTGTCTCCTCTTATTCTTTTTTTCCTATTGTATTGCTTTGATTTCTGTCACACTTTCTCACCCCACCTCTTGATGTTGTCCTCTAATCAGTCTTCTGCCACCAATCTGGCCCCTTCCATTCCAGTTCATCTTCCACACCTTTTTTTTTTTTTTTTTTTTTTTATAGGGGCACGGCCACAAAAAACAACGCACGTGCACTCGCGAGAAAGACAGAGACAGAAAGCGAGAAATCACCCCCCAGGGAGAATGGCCACGCCACAGTCCCTTCTCCTCCCCGGATCTTGGGCACGCATGCACATGCTCCTGGCGTGAGTCCACCAGGTCTGGGACTTAAACTGCGGTCGACTACATGGGAGTCCAGTGACATAGCCTTTACTCCAACTGCTGGTCCCCTTCCACACCATTATTATATTAATTTTCCAAAACCAGAAATGTTTTTCCCCTGCATAAAACCATTCAGTGGAGTCTCATCACTTGTGAAGTCCAAATTGTTATCACAGCATAAGGCTTCAGAACTGGGGGAGGCAGCTAAAGGAGAGGTTTGAGATGGTATTAAGGAGAATGTGAAAATGAGGTCAGGTGATGCAAGTGGAGTGGTGGTATATTGGTGCACTCTGACAACTTCCTTCTGTTCTAGGCAGAGACCATCTGTTAAGTACAAATATTAGGCCAGCCATCCAACTGCTCGTAAAAAAAGAAAAAAACCTTGGAGAATTAATAAAATGAAAATGAAGTAGTTTTCCAAGTCAGTTTTTTTTTTTTTTTTTTTGAGGTGTTTTTTTCATCGGGGGCGTGAGCCCCGTTTTTGCTATAGGGTGCGTATGCTCACTGGAAAGAGAGAGAGACAGAGAGAGAGAAAGCGAGAAATCACCCCCCAGGGGGGATGGCCATGCCACAATCCCTTCTCCTTCATTTTCCTCTCAGGATCTTGGGCACGCACGCACACGTGCCTGGCGTGAGTTTAAGCCACCAGGGACTCGAACTACAGTCGACTACATGGGAATCCAGCGACATAGCCATTATGCTAACTGCTGGTCCCCCAAGTCAGTTTTAAACATTCTCGGTTAGGCTAGCCACAGTGGTATAGTGATAACAGAAGACTCTGCAATGCTAAAGCCACCTGGGAGGATCTTGAGTTTGCATCCCAAGGTCTCCCTGTATATGCCAGGCACATGCGCCAGGCACACACACCTGCCTGTGATCCAGGCTGGCTGAGGCTGGAAGTGGATCGTGACATGATGACCCTGTTGGGGATGCCTATCAGTCACTCATTTAGAAAAAATAATTTTTTAAAAAAGAGAGAAGGAAATATTCAGTTACTTGGCAAATTTATTTCAGAAAAGTGAAGAAGAGAGTAAAAAATGCCTATCCATGATTTTTAGAGTTGCTGTTAAAAAAAAAAAAAAAAAAAACTTTTTTAAAGGGTTGTGGCGTGTTTCACTTTTTACTAAAACTTCAGTTGTCCTCCCAGAGCTGTTTTTGCTCTTCAAATGTACCCAAAATTAAATTAGAAAAATTCCTTCCATAAAGGGTGCCTTTCAGAGGGAACTGGCCTTTAGGCTAGATAGAGTTCCCTTTTTTTGTATCCTAATTATTCTGCTGCATTACACTGTGTTGGAAATTTAGGCTAGAGAGAAAAAAACAAAACAAAACAAGACAGCAAGAAATGAAACCCTGTCCCTCTGGGTTAAAGATCACATGTTATGTCTCCTCCAACTTTAATCAGCAACATCTGTTATTCATGGCTTAATGGCAGATGGAGAGGAGAGATGAGGGGGATTAGCGTGACCTCATCCCAGAGCCTGTGGAAAGCTCTGTCGTTATTTGGTAAGATTAGCTGCTATTAAGAGTGCCTCGTATGTGCCAAGCATGGTCCCCAGGGCTTTGCCTATGTCATTTTTAATGCCTTCACCATAGTCTTGGAAGTGGGCAGGTATTCTCTTTGTTTTAGCCCAGAGGGCTTGTGCATGGCTGATTCGAGTTCACCTCATTCAGTAGCTTCGCTTTGTTTTTCTTTTCTTTCTTTCTTTTTTTTTTTTTTTTGAGAGGTTTTTGCTATAGGGCACGTGCGCTCGCCAGAGAGAGACAGAGAGATAGAAAGTGAGAAATCACCCCCCAGGGGGGATGGCCACACCACAATCCCTTCTCCATTCTCCTCTCAGAATCTTGGGCACGCAAGCACATGCGCCCGGCGTGAGTTTAAGCCACTGGGGCCGGGACTCGAACCGCGGTTGACTACGTGGGAGTCCAGCGACATAGCCATTACGCTAACTGCTGGTCCCTTCGCTTTGTTTTTCTAAGCCGTGTACTTTTGCATGGTAGAATAAAAATGTTTGTATCTGCCATATCAATGTGTGATATCCCCCCACGTTGTCCATCTCCTTTCTACAAAGTGGCCAGGCCTTGATAAAAATTACGTTGTTTTCCAGCAACTAGATCATTTTAGAGCCAGATTTTCCCCACTTAGCGATTTGGCTATGAAAGGTAGCAGATTATTTGCCACAGCTTATAGCAGTGTATCTTCTCACCAGAGAGGATAAGAAAAGGTTGTGTTACCCTTACATCCATTTATTCTCTCTGGGTCCAAAAGCAATACCAGTATCCAAAATTTGTTAGTATTCAGTTGGGCCAGGTATCTTTTGAATACTGAAGCTTCCTGCACTCACAAGTGCCTCAGTCATGGTTTGTTGTGATCCTGTGGTCACTCGGCCTGCTGGCTGAGACTGTCTGTGACTTTCAGTACACCCTGTTGTGAACTTGGAACAATTTGTGAACCCTCCATCCTGAAGACCGATCAGTGAACCTCATCACTTCACAGGCCACCATCCTGAACGGCACTGCCATATGTGCCTATTAGAAATTTAGTGATTATGGGGACCAGCAGTTAGCGTAATGACTATGTCGCTGAACTCCCATGTAGTCAACTGTGGTTTGAGTCCCGGACCCGGTGACTTAAACTCACGCTGGGCGTGTGTGCACGTGTGCCCAAGATCCCAAGAGGAGAATGGAGAAGAAGGGATTGGGGCATGGCCATCCCCCCTGGGGGTGATTTCTTGCTTTCTGTCTCTGAGTCTCTCTGTCTATGTGGCGAGCGCACACGCCCTATAGCAAAAACCTCTCCAAAAACAAAACAAAACAAAACAAAACATAAAAAATTTAGTGATTATGGGACCAGCAAAAGGCTTTTACATCACCGGACTCCATGTAGTCAACTACAGTTCAAGTCCCGAACCCAGAGGCTTAAAACTCATGCTGGGTGTGTGTACGTGCATGCCCAAAATCCTGAGCGGAGAATGGAGAAGGGATCTGCATAGCCATCCCCACTGGGGAGTGATTTCTCATTTTCTGTCTCTCGGTCTCTGCAGTGAGTGCATGTACCCTATAGCAAATCTCTCCCTAAAAAAAAAAAAAAAAAGAAAGAAATTTAGTGATTAAGGGCCAACAGGTGATAGTGCTCTAGGTGCTGGTTTCCCACGTGACCGACCATGGTTTGAGCCCCAGACCAGACAGCTTGCTTTCTCACTTTCTTTCTCTCCCTCTGTCTCTCTCTGGTAGTAAGCTTATGTACCCTATAGCAATTTTTAAAATATTAGTAATAATAAATGCAGTTAAAGAAATAATTTTTTAATTAAATTTAGTGATTAAAAATCTTGAATTATACAGGGGGCCTTCAATAAGTTTATGGAAAATGCTTTGCTTCCACTTTTCCACAAGCTTTCTAAAGTCCCCTTATATAGCATTTTATGGCTCAAAAAACACAATCATGTGTTCTCATGTGGTCCTCATTATAGGCATTACTTTCATTTTATATTAGAGAAAGTTGAAATTTAGAGTGGTTGAGTGAGCTGTTCTGGGTCAAATAGCTAAAAGTGTCTGTTGTTGCTATTCGATTTTGAGTCATTTTGAGGAAAGTAGGACATTAGACTTGGCAGCTTAGAATGAGAAACGATCATCTTTGGAATTCAACAGTCCAATTTTTCAGCCCTTGGGGATATTATCTGTATATATATAAAAAGTTATGTTGACCCGTCTGCCAATGCTTTGAATTTTTAAATTTCATTCAGTCTTTGGTATCTGAGAATGTTGAGACAGTGTTTTTAACTTTTACTTCTGTCTTCCTATTTCTTCTGTGAGATGAAAAGATGAGGAATAATGTAGTTATTCTCATTTATGCTAGTGGCCCAAGAAGAGTTAGTAAGGGTTTGATTTCTTAAGTTTTCTATTTTGTATATATTTTATTTAGCCTAATACTGCTTAGATTTTCCTCCTGTGGCTAGGAATCTTAGATTTGGGGAGCGGGGAGAGTATCTGATTATAATTAACACTGAGGATTGGATGCTGGTAAAAGCTTCCGCTGTTCGTGAATTTGGCAAAATTAGAAAGCTTTTGCCTTGTTTCTAAGCACATGCCTGATTGACGTTCCATCTGCCAGGCCCAGATGGACTGGGATGCAAGACTGTGGCCCCTCTGTTTCTAAGAAGGAAGATCCCTAAGAGGACATACAGCCAGATTTTCAGACCTGTGAACTCTAAGCTGGTGTACAGCATCTTTGAGAGAAGAAATGATACAAAACTCCTACTTGAGGGATTGGTATTCTAGAAGGAGTTGGGATTCAAAGTTAAAAGACCTTGTACCTATTTGCTATGAGACCTAGATTAAGTTTCCTTATAGTGCTGATCTTAGTCGTCTTTAAATTGTCCTGACTTTATGTACAATGCTCTTGAGAACCTCTGTTGGCAGTGATTTCAGGAAATTCCCTTACAAAATCTGCACAATTACTGGTGGGAGGTTTCTATCAGCTATATGAACTTAGAGATAGTCATTTATTAAAAGAGATTTTTGCTATAGGGTATGTGCACTCACCAGAGACAGAGAGACAAAAAGCAAGAAATCACCCCCCCCCCAGAGGGGTTGCCCGTTCCTTCTCCATTCTCCTCTTGGAATTTTGGGCATGCACGCACACGCACCCAGCATGACTTTGGTTTTTTTTTTTGGAGAGGTTTTCGCTCTAGGGCGCGTGTGCTCGCCAGACAGACAGAGAGAGACATAGAGACAGAAAGCAAGAAATCACCCCCCAGGGGGATGGTCACGCCGCAGTCCCTTCTCCTCCATTCTCCTCTCGGGATCTTGGGCACGCACGCACACGCACCCGGCATGAGTTCTAAGCCACCGGGTCCAGGACGCAAACCGCAGTCGACTACGTGGGAGTCCAGCGACATAGCCATTACGCTAACTGCTGGTTCCCACCCAGCATGAGTTTAAGCTTCCAGGTCTGGGGCTCAAACTGCCATTAAACCATCTAATGTCCCAAGACATTATTTTCTCAAATGGAGATCATCTATTCTCTGGATTAAATAATCAATCAAATAGGGGGACAGCAGGCAGCATAGTGGTTAAGACATGGATTCTCATGTGGCCAACTGCTGTTTGAGTCCCAGACCTGGCAGCTTGAAACTCACACCAGGAAGATCTCTTGTTTTTAAAAAAAAAAAAAGGAAAGAAAAGAAACTCACACCAGGAGCACATGCATGTGTACCCAAAATTCCAAAAGGAGAATGGAAGAGAAGGGATTGTGGTGTGGCCAGCCCCCTGGGGGTGATTTGTTGTTTTCTGTTTTTCTGTCTCTGTCTTGCCAATGAGTACACAAGCCCTAATAGCAAAAATCTCTCTCTAGGAGCCAGCAGTTTGCGTAATGGCTATGTCACTGGACTCCCCACAAGTTCGAGTCCCAGACCCGGTGGCTTAAACTCACGCCAGGCATATGTACACGTGTGCCCAAGATCCCGAGAATGGAGAAGAGGGATTGTGGTTGGCCACCCCCCCCCGGGGGGGTGATTTCTCGCTGTCTCTCTCTTTCTGGCAAGCGCACTCGCCCTATAGCAAAAAAACCTCTCCCCCCCAAAAAAAATCTCTCTCTAAAAAAAAATTTTTTTTAATCAATTAGGATATTTCCCTTCTTCATCCTTAACACTTTGAGGGTAGTCTGTGTTAGATTACGACTTTTTTTACAGACCCTAATTTTGTATGTCTGATTTTTAAAAATGGGTTTGAGGATTATTTACTTACTAGAGAAGTTATATTTTACTGAGCTCTTAAATCTTTAGAACACGGCCATTTATTTTACTGTCTTATGAGAAATAACCCCCATTGGTTCACTCAGGATCTAACCCAGCCCTGGAATACCAAGGAACCAATATTTTGTCAGGAGTTGGCAGTATGATCTCAGACATCAAGTTTTTTAACTTGTGTACTGTGATCTGTAAAGCAGGCATCAAACTGAGGCCCTTCTTGAGGATTGTAAGCCTAGCCCGTTGTCTTTTATTTAAATCTGCCAGGACTTCTTTCTGAAACTCCCCAGAGGGGAGGGTCACACTGCAGTCCCATCTCTTCCATTCTTCTCTCAGGATCTTGGGCATGCACGCACACATACCCAGCATGAATTTTAAATTGCTGAGACCAGGACTCGAACCATGGTAGACTATGTAAGAGTCCAGCGACATAACCATTATGTCATTGGCTGGTCCCACTTTTTTAAAAGGTGTTAAAACATAACTATGTTATGTTTAGGATTAGAGTGAGACTAAAAAAGTGGTTTTCAGTTGTATAATTTCTTTATTTAGATATCTGGGAGCATGTCTGCATTTAGGCTTTAAGTAGGCATTTGATGGGCTGTATAGGATTGTTTCCCAGCCTTCGCTCATCAGATTTCTGTTCTGCATTCCCAGAAAATAACCATGGCCACGTGAAGTGTGTGAGATTATTAAAAAGTGCTGGGGGCTGGCAGGTGGCGTGGTGGTTAAAGGTACTGGACTCCCACATGGCTGACCTAGGTTCGAGTCCCGGATCGGGCTGCTTGCTTTCTCACTTTCTCTCTCGCTCCCTCTCTCACTCTATCCCTCTATGGTCAAATAAAAATAAATAAATAAACAGATAAAGATAAATAAAATAATTAAAGAAAATTTAAAAATAATTAAATAAATAAATAATAATTGCTGTAAAGCAGAAATGTAGCCCCAGGCACATAGGAGGCCCTCACTAAACAGCTACTGTCAGTGGTAGGGAGGATAGAAGAAAGATAGAAACCACTGGCACATGGTAGGCATTCATCAAATTAATTGTTGGTATAATTCATTAAGAAACCAGGAGTGAAAGACCAGCAGGTGACGTGGTGGTTAAGGCACTGAGTTCTCACATGGCCGACCACAGTTTGAGTCCTGGACCCAGTGGCTTAAAGATCACAACAAATAGGGACCAGCAGTTGGCGTAATGGCTATGTCACTGGACTCCCATGTGGTCGACCGCAGTTCGAGTCGTGGACCCCTCTGGCTTAAATTCACACCAGGCGTGTGTGCATGTGTGCCCAAGATCCCGAGAGGAGGATGGAGGAGAAGGGATTGTGGCATGGCCATCCCCCCAGTGGGTGATTTCTCGCTTTCTATCTCTCTGTCTCTCTCTGTCTTTTTGGTGAGCGCATGTGCCCTATAGCAAAAACTTCTCAAAAAAAAAAAAATCACGACAAATAAACAGGTAAATAAATAAATAATGTTATAAAAAATAAGGTACAGGTGTGATTGTTGTAAAATACAAAAGTATATAAAATGCCATTTTACTCAGGTGAGTTTTCTTTTTTTTTATTTAAAAAAATTTTTTTATATACATTCAGTCACATTATTTAGCTTACGATGTGAACATTTCAATATGTGAACATTTTTCCCCAGTCCAGTTGATCAAAATATCTTCAACTGCTAACACCACACCTCCTCATCCCGTCAATGCTCTGCCTCCGTATCCCTCCTCCAAATGTCCTTCCCTCGGCCTCCCTCCCCCAACACACAGCACATCGGGCATTCACATCCATCTCTTGTGTTTGTACAACCTTCAGAGGTGACTTTTCTTTGCATATATAACATATTCATATCTGTATGTGTGTATGGTTGGGTATAGATCTCAGGGTTTTTTTGTTTTGTTTTTTTTTTTTAAGTTCATTTATTTATTTCTCCTTGAGTGGAGAGAGATAGTGAGACAGAAAGAGAGAGAGAACTCCCAGTAGAGTCCTAATGTGGTGATGTACCCCCAGCTTCAGCCAGCCCTGGATAATGAACACGCCCATGCCCAGTGTACTCAGGGAGTCTCCAGATGTGAGCCCGGAACCTTACCATGTGGGTTGGCCTCACAGAACGTTGCATTCTATCCCTATGCCACTACCCAGCCCATTTTCACTGGCCCACTTTGAGTGGTCCCATTGGCTTAGCCTGGGATTTGAGTTAGTTTGACCTTCCTATGGAGCCAAGATGAAGAAAACATGGGAATGGGGGCTAGCTCAGGACGCAGGCCCTGAACTCTGTGCAAGAGGCTGGGCTGGGACTGTGAACAGTGTGGGCAGGGGAGGGCAGAGGTGGATCAGGACCATGAGGCTCATTGGTAACTCCTGGAGGGTTTTCTCTTTCTGCAGATTGTGGAAGAGAGTGAAGAAAGGCTCACAGAGGAGCAAATCGAAGCTCTTCTCCACACTGTCACAAGTATTTTGCCTGCAGGGCCGGAGGCTGAGCAGAAACAAAATACCAGTGAGGACGTGGCAATGGATGAAGAGGACCCAGCATAGAAGGGTGCAGCTGGCCCAGGTTCATGAAGTTAGAAGGCCAAGCAGCCATTTCCTGGATGTTCAGAGGATTGTTTATTTGATATTACCCTCTGTCCCCCCAGGCCTGATTTCATGGTTAGTTGGGTAAATCACAAAAATAAGCCTTTCTCAAAAGCTGAAAAGAAATATTTGTGCCTCAAGGAGAAGCAGCATGGTGAAGACAGGCTGAGGTTGTCAGTGGGGAGGACAAGGACTGTGGACCCCTCTGTGGTAGAAATATTTCTCTGGCCTTTGCCACAGTTGTGGGGAGGTCTCTATACACAGCTGGTAAAACATTTGTGTAGCCTTTGATGGGCTCTGTCATAATTAGTTTCATCTGCTTCCCTAGGAACTTCCCAAGCAGAGACTTGGAGCTGTTGGGATTGGAGCTCAATTGCAAGAAGCTAGTTAGATGGCTGCAGACTCCTGGAGCAGCGAATAGTGGCTCTGGGTTAAAATGATCCACTGAACTTGGCTCTCCTTAGAGGAGTTTTCCTCGAGAACAGCAAAGATAAGAATGGAATGGGCCTGGCAGACCTTCAGGTCTAAAGGCCCCTTTCCTCTGCTGGCATAGACTTTGTTTACTGGCTCACTGTTTTATCTTAGATGTTAGGAATCAGCTCATTCCAACTGAAAAGAGGTACTCCAGCCTGAATGACAGTGGCAATAGTGCTGGCTGCCTTTCTGACATCCCGTGTCCTGCCCTGAGACAGCACTCCTGGTGGTGAGCAGACAACTTGTTTACACCTTTAAAAGAGGCACAATGATGTAGCTGTTTTTATAAAAGAATAGAATATCTAAGAACTAAAGGTGATTAATAAGGATTTGAATTTACTGGCTGTTGGAAATTGACCTCAGTTTTAAAATGTAAAACGTTAAAATAACTACCACGGGAGGGCCTTTTAGTATTCAGGCTTTGGGAAGTTAATTAGCTCCAGGAAAGTCATTTTCTTTTTCTTTGCCCTTTTTTTCTTCCAGTTTTTGCTTTAGGGTACATGCGCTCCCCAGAAAGTGACAGAGAGACAGAGAAAATGAGAAATTATCCCCCTACGGCTGCTGCAGTCCCTTTTCCATTCTCCTCTCGGAATTTTGGGCACACACTTGTGCCTCGAATGATTTTTCAAGCCACCAGACGAGACTTAAGCTACACAGTTGGCCATGTGGGACGCAGCCTTCCTAACTTTCACTCCATCTGCTGACCCACATGTGATTTTCTTAGGTCCAAGGACTATCGCTGGAGATCTGATTTCCCACATTCACTCTATTCCTAGTTTGAGGAAGATAGTGCCTATAGCCATTGATTTTCCAAATTGGCACTCATTTTATTGTAAGATTACATATTTTTAAAAGAAGTATTTATTCATTTAATTTCATTTGTTATTATTATTAGTCTTTTTTATTTTTTAAATTCAACCAGAGAGAGAGGAGGGGGAAAGCAAAAAACAAGCCACCAGGTCTGGGACTTGAACCGTGGTCAGCCATCTGGGAGTCTCCCATCTTAACCACCACACCACTTGCTAGCCCCAGGTTACATATTTTCAGTGCTGCTGTTAGTTGGATTACTTTTTTGACATCCCGCAGTTTAGTCGCCCTTCCTACCTACCTCACCCTACTCTGCAAGCAGTTCATTGTAGTTATGTCCGTCTTCACCTTATCATCTAAGGATCACCTGGAATCTTTTTAGGCAACGTTAAAAAGTAACGGGAGAATTTATTTTAAAATCTCTCTTGAATATTGGGAATTTGATCAGGAGCTGCTGGTTTATTTGTCAAGGCATACTTGTGCCTATGCCATTGTTGTCTCTGCAACAATGCAGTATGTTTGGTGGTTTTTCTTGATAGATTTAGGACTTAATTTACCGAATAAATTGCTTTTAGGTGATTGCCAACTTGTGACATTTTATAAATTCTTAATAACATTTGTTTGTATTATCATGGACAGAGAAACAATAAAGTCAAATCTGGCTTAAAGGTTAATAGGTGATTTTTTG